TCCCTACAGTTTTTTCCATAGCCCATGTGCTTCTGTCTTACACTCCCTGGTGCTGTATCTGAATAAGTTTCGTAAACACCATTGCTCGTGCACATTGTGTATACACGTTGTTCAGATGCATTATTCACAATAGCCAGAAGGTGGAACAATCCAGATCTCCATCGACACATGAATGGATTAACAAAATGTCACATACACATGCTATAACATGGATGAACCTTGAAAACATTATGCTAAGTGAAATAAGCCAGACATAAAAGGACAGACAGTGTATGATTCCACTTACATACGACGCCTAGAATAGTCAGGTTCAGAGAGACAAAAAGTAGAAGAGTGATTCCCCGGGACTAGAAGAAGAGAAATGGAGAGCGATTGCTTAATGAAGATGACGCTTCAGTTTTGGATAAATGGAAAGTTCTAGAGATGGATGGTGATGATGATTACATAATAATTTCAATGTGATTGCACAATCATTTGAATGTACTTAATGTCACTGAATTGCGCACTTAAAAATTGTTGAAATGGCAAATCTTGTTATGTATGTTTTACCACCATAGAAAAATAATTAAACAAGCATAGTATTATAATAATAAGAAAAATTGCTAATATTTATTGCATGTTTACCATGCACCAAGTATTTGGCTAGTCTTTTTACATACAGTCATTAGTTCAGTCCTTGCACTAACTCGTGGGTGTCAGTGCTGCTGTTATTTTCAGCAAGGAAATGAGGACCCTGGGCGGTCGAGGAAGTCCAAGGTGATGACTAGGAAGTTGCAGAGCTGAGATCCAAAGCTGGGTTTCAAGTTCCTAATTCTCAGTCACCATGCTTGCCCTCCCACCTGGCCTCTGGATGCTGATAACCGTCCGATTGTGAATCTCCGGCACAGATCTCATAAGAACGATAAATGATGATATTGATGCTTTACTAATATTTTCAGCCACTCAAAAAACCTGAAATAGTGCTCATCATCTCAATTTAAAAGTGAGCAGTCTGAAGCGTAAGGAGGTTAAATAACTTATTCAAGTTCACTCATCCACAGCAGAAACAGGATTTAAACTCAAGTCAGTCTGATTTGAAGCCATATTGTTAAATACAACTGCATTCTTGTGTACCCACAAATGCACTATTATAAGGTAAACTCTTTTGTTTCATATTTAAACTTTCTGAATTGGGGTATACCTTACAGTGTCTCTCGACATCCCCGGATACTAACTGGAGAGCTGGACTTTGTAGAACTCAGGTAATAGGTAGGATATTTATACCTTTAAATATACTAGGTGCCCAGAATGAGTTTGTTAAAATGTGATCCAGCCCAAGATTGCCAAAGTCTGGTATTGATCTCATAAAAGAATCAGGAACACAGATGAAAAGAGCAAGCGTGTACAGGAGGGAATCCTCTCTTAACCCTCAGTGAGGTTCTTCTGAGGCCAGAAAACCTTGGCTAGCCCAAGGCAGACTTAGAGAACATGCCTTAGTAATTTCAAAAAGTTTAAACCATTTTACATGCATTTTGGGCACCCCTATTACAGCCATGTTTTACTGCTGTCCATGCTTCTTCCCCTTCTCAGCAGGTATTTCTGCCTCATTACTAAGTACTGAAACCCTCAGTGGCCCCTGGGTCTTTTCATGGGCAGTGGTGTCTTGCATAAACTCACATTGTTGCCTCTTTACCAGTTTTACAGTTGCTCTCAGAGACTGCAGAAAATGGAACTGGACAGCTTGGAGCCCACACACAATTTCTAAGACTTAAATCCTTGACCCCTATAGAGAGTCTAAGAGATGCTGTGGAATGCAAACTCCACCAACAAATCCAATCTGCTTTGTTCTGTGAAAGAGTTCTCGAACAACCGTGAATCATTAGGCATCACAACAAAAGAGCCAATCTTCCTGCTGTGTAAAACCAGTTTATCATAAAAATAGGCATCCTTGATGTCATGAGTAGAACTAAATGACTCCAGTGCAACTTTTTAACAAAGGAAATGTGGCTAAGAGTTTTGGCTGTTGTTTTTTCTCTGGAGTATATCTTGCCTCTACCCAGATCTAGATCTGGAAAATTTTACTTATAATAATAAGTAGACATTACCATGAAAACTGTAATGTCAAAAAATTGCTGGTAGCAAAATAAATCACTTCCCAAGGAAACATGTTTATTGAGAAAATACTTGTAATTTTTCAAAGCATAACAAAATTATGTATGGTTACCTTAAAATACACTATAACTTACCCAATTATTACTGATAGTGTAAATCCAGAATGCAGTTGAGATTTTAATGTGATGGAGTCATAATGAATTTAAAGGTTGACCTGATTGGTATTTGCTTATACAAGAAGTGGAATGAGCCTGTGCTTAGAGAGGGCCTTGAATTACTTCTAGTCATCAAATATTCATGCTATAAAACTCTGCAAAATAATATTTCCTAAATAAATGTCAAGAGTTAGATGACATTCTGTGAATGGTTCCAGGGTGAATGCAAAGGTGTTTCCTTAATTAAAATCAAGCAAAAATGATAACTAATTAAATGCCATGATGGGACAGGGAAGAGTGTAGGGAAGAAAGGACACGTGGGAGGAAGCCTTATCAAGAAACTGGGCTCTGATCCTTGGGAGAGTGGGGCTGGGGGCGACTACCTCATTTCTGCAGAGCCAGGTTCAAACAATGCCAAATAGTAGAATACTACTAGCAGAAACACATCTACAGAAGGTAGAGCCTTAGTGTTTCTTTAAGGGGTTGCATTAAATGTAATTGGGAACATATGTCATGATTATTAAAAATAATAATAACTAGTACTAAGTGAGTACCTTCTTTGTGTCAGGGAGTTTGACTAGCATTTTATGAAACACTTTCACCCCATTAAGCTTGTGTATATGGGGCATCAGAGAAGCACACAAACCCTTTTTTTTTTGCCAGAGAAGAATATTTTACATCTCCAAAAACACACTGAATTAGTGTCAGAGGAAAACTTGGAATATTGCTGACCTACTTCTGTTCATATTTTGAATTGACCTTGTTTTCATTTTAAAGTACGTAATAGGAGCAGGGTAGCAACACCCTCGTCATCTTTTCAGTATCAAAAAGCTCTTAAGCTTGGCCCTGGGCACAGGGTCTCCACCAGCATTGCTTCATTAACTAGTTGTCATCAGGTAATCCCATGACAGGAAAAAACTTTAGGGCATACAATTTATAAATAAGATTGGAGCCCTGGTCTCCCTACCCTGAACTTGCTCTGAACCACTTCACAGGAGTACCTCCTGTCCATCCTGGCTACACCACCTTTTGCAAGTCTCTCATGTTGTTTTTATCTGAACTTTGTGTCTGATTCTATATCATCACTCCCCAGGATATTTCTACCCAGGTTGAAAACACACCCCCCACCTCCAGGCATCTGCTTTGCGTTTCCTGGATGGCCCAGTAATGTGTTTGTTTAGCTCACTCCACATTAGACTATAGATTTTGCTAGTGGCCTTTTGAACACTGGCCTCAGGATGTTTGTTTTTCTAAGTTTTTGTCTTATCTCACTTCCTCTGAAAAAGCCTCACTTTTCACAGCTTGGCTGAAGCCTGAATAAGCAGCTCTCTGAGCCCTGCCTGGACATCTAGCCAAGAGCATGAAGCTCAGTTATTTGCAGTTCGAAAATCATAACCAGTCTGCATGGCAGCATTTCATCAAAAGGCCAAAAGAGCATTCTAAGAACATAGACAGGAGTAAAATAAATTTCATCAGTAGTCTCTCTCCTTTCTCTCCCTCTCTCTCCCTGAGCGCCCTTCTGTCTCACAAGTGCACAGAACTGGGAAGAAGTTCAGTGATTCTCAAACTCAAGGGAACACGTGGAGAAATTGCTAACGTGCAGATTCAGACCACATCCTCAGAGATGCAGATGCAAAACAGCTGGGTGAGCCCTTGGAATCTGTTTTTTTAACAAACACCCACCCCAACAGCACCCCCATCATTTTGATGAAATAGTTTGTAGATCTGGACATGGAGAAACCCCAGTAAAGTGGTTAACATCTTAGATTTGAACATCTCGTATCTGCCTTTGAATCCTAGCTCATCTTTGCCTGGCTGGGTAACCTTCTGAACCTGTTTCCCTCAAATGTGGATAAAGCAAAAAACTTTTGTGAGAGAATTCAGTGGGCATGGCACTAGGTGAGTGTTCAGCAAAGAGTAGCTCTTATTTTTAATTTATTTGTGTTCTAAAGAAACAGAAATAAATAAACACAGTAGAAAACAGAATATTATTAATAGTCTTCTGTGAGGAGAAAGTGGTCTTAGTCTATTCAAAACTCAAGGTGAAACTTGTACCAAAATATGAAAGCGAAAGCAAGGGCCTACATTTTGATCACTAATGATCAACAATGCATACATCTTGTTGCCTTCCCCAGCCCCATCTTCACTCAGCATCCTTCAGGAGGTTTCTTGGATTCACTTCCTCAGGGAGGGTGGCCTTCCTGACCCCTAGGTTAAGTCCATAGCCCTGGTTACTTCCTCTTGATGTGTTCATCATGCATTCCTGTTAATTACTAGTTTGATGTCTGCCTTCCTGCTGGACTGTGGCCTCCACTAAGGGATGGGATCCTGTTGGCTATGATAGCCTTATTTCCAACAGGTTTATGGTGTGAGCCTGATACATATCTTTATAGGGAATAAATAAATACATAGGGAAGATTTTTTAAGAACATATTAGTGCTATTGAACTGTGGGATGGAATGTCTTGGGGATTCCAACCTGCCTGTCATGGCCAGTCCATTCAAGTGGACCATGAGGATATACTGCTAAAGAAATCCTGCAGGGACTCTGAAGTTCTCTTCCAGTTGGCCAGTTTTCCAGAGCACATCAAAGAAATCTTGAGCAGTTTCCTAAAGAAAGACAAAGTCATAATGAGGAACTCTGGGCATTTGCAAGGAGTTAGACAAATTGCTCAAGGAAACAGCAGATGACAACATCGATTTTAATGATGTCTTAGCAAAACACCTGAATGTGCCATTTACTTGATGTATTGATACAGTTCACAGGACCTCCAAAGGATGAAGGGAGAATTAATGAGGTAGAGAGAGAATGATTTTATTTTCCAATCTCCTCCCAACGTTGCTGCATTTTTTTTCTTTTCTCATATGGAGAAATTTAGCTTGGCATTAATATTTCCACAAAGGAAAGATGATTCACCAGCTGAATGAATTAAGCATTCTCCCAGGTTTGGTCTCAAAAGATGGAAAAACAGCAAATATCACACATTATTTCAAGTCTGGAAAAGCTGAGCTAATATTTCTCCCCTGTTGTCTTTAATTTTCTGCTTCTAGCCAAATATAGAAAGCCACTTTTATATCCTTTTAAACATGTTTTTTAGGGGAAAAGATACCTTCCAAGTAGAAGCAGTAACAGAGAATAAATGCTAAGTTCTTTTCCTTTTGGCATGTAGACTTCATTTGAATGTTACTGGTATGGCTGAAGTTTCCATTAATGCAAAATAAAAGGGTACCTGGAAGCTTAGAAAAGTGAAGCGAGAAGGTTACATAATTCTTAGCTATGTTCTTAATAAACTTAGTACTCATTACAACCTAACTAAACTCACTCTATAGGGCAATTCCTCTGAGTGGATATATTGTCCATTATTCTCAAAGAAAATCAAGAGTACCAAATAGAATACAGTTATATGTGACAAGCATGTAAGTGTACATATAGATAAATCATGCCTTCATTCTTCATTTATTTGGCAAAGTCGTGGAGATGCCATTTTTAATGTTTTATACACATTTCTCTCTTCATTTCTTTGAGCCCATTTGTTTCTTTTGGGAAAGAAAATACACTAAAAAGCAAAAATAAGGTGTACCCTCTGGCAAAGTATTAACAGCTCCAGCAGTAGACTACCTCTGAGTTCTGGGAGGTTATTTTGCAGAGGCTCTGGACTTAGACTGGTTGATGAAAGCCCCTGATACTTGTTAGTAGTTTGAGCTTTATCAGGTTTATCACTTGCCATAAATACAAGGAAAAGCCAGTGTAGGGACAACCAGTAGGAAAGTATTGAAATGTTGTGTTGGGATAAACCCATTCTGTATCAAACATTCAATGAAGTCTGTGTGAAAGTAGAGCACATTGTCTCCCCTGTATCGATAAAGCAGCAAGGAAAGGATTACTTTACTGAAGCAGTTGCCAAAGTGAATTCTTTACATGATATTCTGTGCCAAAAGGTTTGGTATAGTAACTCCATACCATTTCTACTTTCGAAGAGTCAAAATGCATTTTAATCAGTTAAAGACCCTAGGAATTCCAGAAACCATGTGTACTTTTATTAACTTTTCCCAGATTCATTTGACCCTCGTTTTCCAGCACACCTATTAACAGTGATCTTCCATTGAAATGTAGCACCCTGACCCATAAGCCTCTCTGCAGCCCCTATCCTCAGCCCTACTTTTCTTCAGACTTTGTTTAACACAAGGATGGGCTGGAGTAGCTCCAAGGCTTTCCAATATTTTATATGTCATGACACCTACAGACAAGTATAATATAAATTATTATAGTTGTACACCACATGTGTATATAGTGGATTAACATCATTTTTCTACTTAATGTTTTTGACTGTCTTTACCTGCCATAAAATATTCTGTGAATTCTTCTATTTACTTTATAAATTTATGAAGCCCTAGCCCAGACAGCAGGCCACAGCACCAAGGGCTGAGGGGGTCATAGTGTGGGAGAAAGCAATGAACTGCAGCTTTACCGTTGGGAATTCATTCTGATGAGCTATTGGTACGCATGGAGAGTGAACACCCAGCTGTTGGGAATATTTGTGTATTGACTGTGGAGTCCTCTCTACTGGACTATTTCTTGGTGACTTCAGGTCACTAAGGTCACTAAGGTCAACCACCTTACCCTGTGAAAAGGCAGATTTGAGCACTGTGATGGTGCCCTTTGTCTCACTGCCTGCCCCGCCGCTAACACTGTACAGGAAGCTGATACTGTATCATCCAAACGACTACTGTTATTTCCTGTGTTTGGTACACTTCATTTTTCCTGTCTTGATTTCTGTAATAGGTAGCAGATCAGGTGGAGGAGAACTGAGGGATGATCCATCAACTCTCCCTGCATACACTTGGGGGATTTTCACTTCCTTCCAGTTAGAAGCAGGCTGTTCTTAGAGTGGCCCTTCACCTACCACTGCCCTTCTTGCTTCCAAAGCAGCCAGCCAGAATCTGAATTTACTGTCAGAGCTAGGACTCTGAGGAAAAGGTAACCAGGTAGGAAAGAGGTAACTGGCAGGGACAAGTTATATAGACTGATGGGAGCTGGTAGGATTCCAGATGTTCTCCAGACACCCCTATTAGCTAATGTTAGGTTTCTTATTCACATTTTGAGATCTCTATCATCTTTTCTTTTTTTTTTGTTACTGTTTCCCAGTAGAATATATTGCCTCCTCTTTATTCCCTTAAAAATTAATCCATATCCATTGCTCAAACTTGAAACTGTACAAATGAACAAAGCAAAACAAAAATCACCTATAAAACCACTACCCGAATAGAATCATAATTAACATTATAACATATTTGTCTGAGTCTTTTTCCTTGCATGAGTATTTGTAGTTTACTTGAAAACATTGGAATATATGTGTATAATGTACTATAAATATCCTTTGTTACCTCACTATACACCTCAGTTGTCTTTGATGCCATGGAATATTCATCTATGATATCATGTCTGGAGGCTGCAGGGACTCCCCATCTGTGCCTCTGTGTGTGCTGATGTATCTGACCCATCCCTTCATGTGATCCAAAGTAGTGGACCAACATTTCAGATTTTTTTTCTATTACAAACAATGTTATGGTTAATACTTTCACATGTGCACCCTTGACTTAGTACTATTTTTGCCTTTCTTGTGAGATGAGCACACAAAACACATAAAAATTCAATAGTAAAAATGAGCATTGATGGTTACACAGTATGAATGAATGGACTAAATGCCATAGAACTGTATACTTAAAAGAAAGAAAAAAAATGCACTGATACAATTACCATCCCAGGCCAGAAAAAGGTGCATTGCTAGCAGCCCATGAGCCTTCCCCTTCAGTTCCCTCAGGCTCTCCTGCAGGTACCCAGCACTGTGATTTCTTTCTCTTCTTAGTTTTACTGAATATGAATGAATACCTCAAAATACCTGTTTTTGAACTTCTATAGAAATTGTATTTTCGTGCCTGACTTCTTAGGCTAAATATATGAAAGATTTATCCATGTAGTTTGTTCATTTACATTGCTGCACGGCAAACCATTCATATCAATATGCCGTATCTTACCCATTCTACTTTGCACCACTCCAAGCCGCCCACAGTAATCCTGGGTGCATGTGCACCCAAGATTGAAATCTTTGAGTCCTGAGATAAGTGTATGTTAGAGTAGAAAATGCCAAAAGAAGTGATTTTGTTATTTATACCTGCTGTCTGTGATAGCTCCTGGTATTACATACTCTCCCAACATTTGGTATTTTCAGAGTTTAGATTGTTTTTCTCAGTCTAGTAGGTGTACAACAGCAATTCATTTTGTTTTTAATTTGCATATGTCAAATTATTAATAAGATTGAGTGCTTTTTCATGTATTTATTGGTCATCTGTATTTCCTCCTTTGTAAAGCAAAAGACTTGAGTCTTTTGTAGATGTTTTTCTAGTGTCTACTTGTTATTATTTAGAAGAATTCTTTGTTTTCTGAGAACAAAACCTTTGTTAGTTATATGTGTTTCCCCAAACTATAGTGTTTCTTTTCACACTTCTTAATGGTGTCTTTTCTTAAAGTTTTGGTTTTTTTTAATGTGGTGTGATATGTAATGTTTTCCTACGGTTCCCTGTGTTTTGTTTAGGACATTCTTATCTACCCTTCACTTGTGAAAACACTCTTCTATACTATTTTCTAAGTTTTGTAGTTTACCCTCCCATATTTAGATTAGAAATGAAGTGGAATTATTTTGCATATGATATTACCTAGAGGTATAATGTTTCTTTTTCCTTTTTCCTCCTGCCTTGTTCTTTGTTCTTCTCCACCTTTCTCTTCTCTTTTAAATGTGTGGATAGCCATTTGCCCTAGCAACAGTTACTGAAAGCTGCCTTCTTCCTACCAAACTCCATGCTGCCTCTGTCATGCAGCAAATGCCCATTATTACATGCATGAGTCTATTTCTGGGCTTGCTGTTCTGTTCCACTGGTCGTTTTACCTATTCCTGATCCATAGGTAGTTCTCATATCATAGTATTCTTGATTCTTCCTAGGACACACCTTCCCTTATTTTTTGTTCTTCTTGGGCCTTATTCATCCCTTGCAATTCCATATACATTTTAGATTCAACTTAGCTATTATTGAAAAGTTTGGGAATTTGGTTGGATTATATTGGAGAAGAATTCATATCTTTATAATACTGGGGTTCTCCATGGACTCAGTAGAAACCTTAACTCTTTTGTTAGATGTATTCTTGCAAGTTTTTGATGCCATTATGAATGCTGTTGTAAATTTAAAAAATTTTTTTGATTGTTTATATATAACAGTGTAATTGGTTTTTATATTGGTATTATATCTAGAAAACATGTTTAATTCTCTCATTAATCCCAATAATATACCTGTAGTTTCTTTTGTATTTGATACATATAAAGTCATATCATTTTTAAGTGGCAAATTTGTTTCTTCCTTTCTAATCATTATGCCTATAAATATTTCTTTTTCTTGCTTTGCTGCACTGACTAGAAGTATAATTTTGACTTAGAAGTGATAATAGTAGGCAACTTTGTCTTTTTTTTTTTATCTCAAAGTGGAATGCACCTTCAGGTATGATGACTGCTGGAGTTGTTTTGTAGATCTCGTTTATCAGATTAAGGGAGTTAGATCCC